GTTCAAAGGCACTCAAATCACCTTTCTTCCCCATACTGATGCTCGGTTTGAACTGCAGGAGATTGTCTTGACCATGTCTACATGCCTAAATGCATTGAGTTGCCGCCATGTGATTGGCTGATTAGAAATTAAATGTTAACGAGCAGTTGGACAGGTGTACCTAATAAAGTGGCCGGTGAGTGTATATATTTCAAAGTGGTTTCTTTAAACATACATTACCAATCCAACATGTATCAAAGTGATTAAATGAAGAATAAAACACCAGCTGAACAGCTTCACTCTCAGCCTGAGTAAATAATCTTTGCTCCATATCTCCATCAGTTTTGGGGTCCCAGACTCAAAAAAGTTGAAGACTCCTGGCTTAGAACATGGCAGAGGCTGGTTCTGATTAGTTGTATTCAACTCAAGTTCTTATAGTTTCTCAAATGATTTTGGGAGTTTTCATTTAAAATTGACAATGCATACCTAATTTTTTTAAAAGCCATACATTTTTTTTTCCTACAGGCTTTTGATCACGGAGAGGAGAAAACGTTTGGCATCTATGGCTGACGAGCCTGAAGTAGCCCATCAGCATCAATCATCATCAATACTTCATCAATACTTATAAAGAACAAGTCAGTGTTGCAAACACAAACGATTTATGCTGCACTACCTTTTTTCTGTCCACATGGAAAATACTATGACCACTATATTAAATAGAATAGAATAGAAACAGCCTTTATTGTCCCGCGCGAAATAGAGGGATAAAAATACCTTTTTAAATTATAACAAAATCCTTTTTATTCCTAAAAAGTTGTCTCGTTATTCCCACCACACATCCAAAGGCAAAAAAAGCAATTTCTCCTTAATTTGCCTACAAATACCATCTTGTTTCCCCAACCTTTCATTTGCATCTGACATTTAAAACCTCATTTGAATGTAGTTGCATACATCTTCTTCCTCTTCCCTTCTTTCAGCTCCGTGCAACTTGTAAAGGAAAGCATCATTCAGTTTGCCTTTATGTTTTCATCCTGGCTGAAGGGAGAGTCAGACGGTTGTGATGGAGACTGAAACTAATGAGTGGAAAATGAGAGTGGACAGAGGAAAACCAGGATTTCTGAATGAGAGACAGTAAAAAACATTCTGCATAACAACAGATCTGCAGCCAAAGCTGTGTTCTTGTGATCGAAAGATAACCCAGTGGCATAAGAGCTGCAGAATTTAATTAAAATTTAAAAAATGGCAACAAGATTCAGCTTTAGGATTTTTCAGAGAAATATCACTGCCTAACACGTTAAACACAAAACAATAGCCTATATGCCACGGTCATTAATGACGTATTTCCAGTAAAATTCTTGCCACGCTCCTCCCTTCCACTCCCTGCCTGTTTTTACCGTTAGCTGCTAGTCCTAGTCTGTGAAAAAGTCACAAAAGTTAAAGCATCTGTGATCTACTGGTATAAAACGTGAGTTCTGTTGTGTGCCGTTGTGGCCACTAAGCAGCAGGTACGATCGAGTAGTTAGTTTTTCTCCTTTTTCCTTTAGATGAGGAGGTGACAGCAGAGGATCATAGCATTACAGGGAAAACTTATCTTTAAAAGCTCACGCTTGTGTTTGTAATCAGCATTTCTAACCTGAGGATATTCAAGAGCCAGCATCAGAAATGAGAAGACGGAGGTTACAAAAGGGAAATGTACATTTATCCCCTTTTACTGCCAAGAGAGAGGAAAGACCTCCTCCACACGACAGCTAGCAGGAAGCTAACAGGAAGCTAACACAGCAGCCGGTACAAAGGTAGGTGTGTGTGTGCGCGCGCTTGTTATATGAAATGCTTTTATGTGACTTTGTCTTGAGGTTTATGCAAAAGTAAAAACTTGTTAGAGTGTATATTACAGCGTAGACTAAAGCCAAGTCACGAGCCCCCCCCCCCCGAGCACTTTTCTTTCCACTTGGCTGAACCTGTACGTCTCCTGTGTTTATGTTGGTACATGTAATATGCTAATTCTGTACTGTGGAGATCATTAAGAGTCGTTGTCGGGTGAAAAAAACTTTTGCTAACACTGTGTTGACCGTGAACCGGAAGTGTTGGGAGTGGCATCCAGTGCTGGGCAGGATGTCCGTGGCATATAGGCTATTCTTCTGAATTTCTAGCTTCTTTCTGAAGTTTTTTCTAATATAATTTTTTTAATCCAAAAAATTTTGTTTCCAGAGATCCAGTGGAGTGAGATATTGTGCACAGCAGCACAAATAGACAGGTTTACTTTTAAACTCACAGGTTTAATTAAAGTATAATTCTGTGGAAGCTGAAAATTTAAGATGTAGAAATAACAGATCTGTGTTGACTGCCCTCACCTGGTGGGTTGTGTGTACTGTACAAGTCTCAAACAAGAGGCATGATGCTACTGTAGTTACTGATCCTCATTATAAGAACTTTTATTTCTTTTTTCTTCTTAAAATGATATACTATGCATTTGTTTTAATTTACTTTGGTTCTTTAAGTAAGTCATACGTGGACAACAGTTCAGTTCTTGATCTGAAGAGTATTGTTCCTATAGTAAGGCTTCATCCATCGAGGTCCTGCAGTTTTTAAATGATGTGACATTTGTTTGTGAAGGTTCCCCAGCGCTACCCGGTCCTGTCAGAGCTGATCTTTCAACCGGACTAGTCCGTCTGCGTACTGGAACTGCTCGCTGTTCTCGTACTCCAGCATGTCCAGGGCGACCTCGCAGCTCTCCTTCACCACTCGCTCTCGGTCGTCACGGTAAGACTGCAACACGGCCAGACACTCCTGTCTCCCGATGGAGCCCAGCGCCTCCGCCGCCTCGTGGCGCACCATGGGGTTCTCGTCGGAGCGCTCCAGGGCCGCGCGCAGGGCCGGGACCGCTGCCGGGTGCTGCATCTGACCTAGGACGTAGCCGATCTCGTGGCGGAACAGAGCGCTGGAGCTCTGCAACCCTGGAGCCAAAATGAAAACTATATATTAAAAACTTATCACACGTTCTGCATGGAGAAGAATAAAAGAGCTGAAGAAGCTGAAACAGAGTGGTCACAGCTAAAAGAAGCAGAATGCTAGCTAAAAGTACAAAAGGCTGAAGCTTTGGGATAAAGGCAGAATAAGACAAAGACAGAGCCAGAAGCTGAAGAGGATTTCAAAGAAAATACAGTGGTTTGCAAAAGTATTCATACCCCTTGAACTTTTCCATATTTTGTCACATTACAACCACAAACATAAATATATTTCACTGGAATTTAATGTGAAAGACCAACACAAAGTGGTATACAATTGTGAAGTGGAAGCAAAATTTTACATGAATCAAAACATTTTTTACAAATAAAAAACTGAAAAGTGCGATGTGCAAAATTATTCAGCCCCCCTGAGTCAATATTTTGTGGAGCCACCTTTTGCTGCAATTACAGCTGCAAGTCTTTTAGGGTATGTCTCCACCAGCTTTGCACATCTAGTGACTGCAATTCTTGCCCATTCCTCCTTGCAAAACAGCTCAAGCTCAGTCAGATTGGATGGAGAGCGTTTGTGAACAGCAGTTTTGAGATCTTGCCACAAATTCTCAATTGGGTTTAGGTCTGGACTTTGACTGGGCCATTCTAACACATGAATATTCTTTTTTTTAAACCACTCCATTGTAGCTTTGGCTTTATGTTTAGGGTCGTTGTCCTGCTGGAAGGTGAACCTCCGCCCCAGTCTCAAATCTTTTGCTGACTCCAACAGGTTTTCTTCCAAGATTGCCCTGTATTTGGCTCCATCCATCTTCCCATCAACTTTGACCAACTTCCCGGTCCCTGCTGAAGAGAAGCACCCCCAGAGCATGATGCTGCCACCACCATATTTGACAGTGGGGATGGTGTTTTCAGAGTGATGTGCAGTGTTCTTTCTCCGCCACACATAGCGTTTTGCATTGTGGCCAAAAAGTTCAATTTTGGTCTCGTCTGACCAAAGCACCTTCTTCCACATGTTTGCTGTGTCCTCAACATGGCTTCTGGCAAACTGCAAACGGGACTTCTTATGGTTTTCTTTTAACAATGGCTTTCTCCTTGCCACTCTTCCATAAAGACCACATTTGTGTAGTGCACGACTAATTGTTTTCCTGTGGACAGTTTCCCCCTCCTGAGCTGTGTGTGGCTCTCTGCATTTCATCCAGAGTCACCATGGGCCTCTTGGCTGCCTCTCTGATCAGTGATCTCCTTGTTCGGCCTGTAAGTTTAGGTGGACGGCCTTGTCTTGGCAGGTTTACTGTGGTGCCATACTCTTTCCATTTCCGGATGATGGATTGAACAGTGCTCCGTGAGATGTTCAAAGCTTGGGAAATCTTTTTATAACCTAAGCCTGCTTTAAACTTCTCCAAAACCATATTCCTAACCTGTCTGGTGTGTTCTTTGGACTTCATGATGCTGTTTGCTCCCCAATATTCTCTTAACCAACATCTGAGGCCGTCACGGAGCATCTGTATTTGTACTGAGATTAGATTACACACAGGTGGACCCTTTTGAGTCATTAGCAGTCATCAGGCAACTTCTGAATGCAATTGGTTGCACTCAGGGAAAAGGGGGCTGAATACTTTTGCACGTCGCACTTTTCAGTTTTTTATTTGTAAAAAATGTTTTGATTCATGTAAAATTTTGCTTCCACTTCACAATTGTATACCACTTTGTGTTGGTCTTTCACATTAAATTCCAGTGAAATATATTTATGTTTGTGGTTGTAATGTGACAAAATATGGAAAAGTTCAAGGGGTATGAATACTTTTGCAAACCACTGTATGTTTTTGAAGGAACAGAAGAGGTCGTGTGTGTTGATATTATGAAAAATATTTCTCTAAATAAATCTATATACGTCTAAACGGCTGAAATAAAAAGTATGCAGAAGTAGTTAAGTTTGCAAGAAACACAGAGCTAAAAACAAGCTACGTCTTCCAGTTGTAGGACTGCGTATCAAACTAGGAATCAAAACGTAAGAAAATCGTCTTGTTAATCTTGGTTCCAATCGATGCTCGATGCCAAACCCTACTCTAGGACCAGGATTGCCCACCCCTGCCTCACACTCTGTCCTGAGCACGTGTTCAGACTTGTTCTAGTCCAGGTTAGTCCAGTACCCACCGTCTCCCAGAGCCAGCACAGCCTCCTCCGTGCCCAGGTTCCTCAGGGCAAACATGGCTCGGTAACGTTCGAACAGCGGCAGACTCTCATCCAACAGAGCAGAGCGCAGCTCCGACACGTTCCTCCTCTGTGCTGGAGGGGCCGGGTCTACAGAACAGTAGGGGTTTTTATCTGTGCCGCCGTCCTCCAGCTCCGATTCTCCACCACTCTGTAACCACTCGAGCCGACGAACGGCCAACTGACACGTCTCTGCAACCTGCAGGTAAAACGCAGATTATTTCTCACTGATCTGGGCCAGAATATGGGCTTAAAGAACTTGTTTCTGGGGCTCCTACCTCTATGAAAGGATCCTGGCAGTACTCTTTCAGTAGGTCCAGAACCACCGAGTCTCCAATCGCTCCCAGAGCCTCTCCTACAAGCGCGGCGAGGCAAACAGAACGAAGGAGATGCAGATCATCGACATCGATAAAGACAAATGAAACACATCGCTCAAAGCGTTTCAAACAGGATGTATAAGAAGAGTAAAAATAAACAGACTTATGGGCTCCTGCTTCTCTCTCTGGATGTGGAAAACCAAAGTAGTTCTTCACTGTTTTTTTTTTTAAATAAAGAACCAGTCTTGTACCGGTTCTGGTGGGAGAAACAGCCAATGTGAGCGCATGTTTACCTGCTTCATGCCTGACCATGGGTTCCTGACTTCTGTCTTTGAGAACATCTGTTAAAACGGGGATGGCTCGTGTGTCCTGCATCTGTCCCAGGCAGTAGGCCAACTCATGCTTCAGCAAAGCCGAGTCATCAGTGAACGCCTTGCTGATCCATTCTATAGCTTCAGCACCTGGAGGGAAAAAATAACAAGGAAAACCATGTTAGCCATGTTTAAATCAGATAAGTACTGGCACTCTATAAACTGACTGGATTAAAGTTAAAATGATTTAAACTTACAACATTACTATATTATAAAACTAGGTTTCCCTTTTTTGTCAATGCTCTTTTGGTCAACAGAAGAAGAAAATCACAGTTGGTGCTCTGGTTTCTGATTTCCAGGTCTGTGATTGGTTCCCTGATCCAATACTTAACGGCGCAGGACATCCCTAACTATCACTGACGTGTTTTTTTTTTGACAGCTCCACTGAGCATGCAGATCTAGATAAACCACACCAATCACAAGCCTGGAGGTCAAAGTGGATACTGATCTTTAAGTTAATCAATCTTTGAGGGGATTTGTGATTAAAATGAGGAAACTGCCTTGTCTGCTTTTAAATAACTTCTTAAAACTCATCTCTGCTCCTTGGTCTTTGACATAATCTGAGATACAGATGTTTTAGTTGAATTTTTGTTTTTTTTTTTCTAACAGATTTGATATGTTTTTGTTTTATGATAATGCTTTGCTTTTTAGGCTTTAATTATGTACTGTCACTGTTCTGTTTTACTGACAGCAGGGTTAGCACTTTGTTCCTGTTGCTTAAAGGGATTTGCAGTGTTTCCCCTAGGTAATTGGTCTTGGGGGGGCTACTTGTTTTATAAAAACATAAATTTACATGACTCACCTGCAATTATGGTAATAAGTTTACACATACATAAATATTTAATTGCCTAACTATATACTAGTTAAGGACTCCTCATGATAATTATCAATAAAATTATTATTGATAATAAGTGATCAGAACTGTGTGCAGCAGATGATCCGAGTCCAGAGTTCTCAGTTTGAAACCTTCTGGAGCTCTTCTGTGTGACTCTAGGTGTGACAGAGTGTGGATGGTTGATTGTCTCTTT